CGATAATTGTTTTTGTTTCGGGGAAGAGACTGTAAAACAACTTGTTTTCTGCCTCTCAAGCTTGTCCAATTCTTTAATTGAATATGGCCCAACGTTTTCATTAGATATGACGACCTCGCGAAACAAATCCGGAGCTTTCTTTCTTCATTTTTTTCATGAATTCTTTGTCAGATGCAAATTCAATCGCGGTTGCGTTTTCTGGTGGAGTGGACAGTCTGTTGGTTTCAATCGCGTTACATGAAGCTTATCCCTTGGACCAAACTATCGATCTCGTAAATGTGGCCTTCATTCGAGGGTCCGAGGTTCGTGACACTGTTTCTTCTACGATGTGGAAGTCTTTTCTCAGAATAACGGCTTTTTGTCGAATTAAGGATTCCTTCCTCGGCTCCACTCGTTTTATTCATCCTCGCTTGTTTTTTTATGTGGAAAAATAGTCTAATGGTAAATGTGGAATGTTACATACAGCCTTGTTTGCTGCGGACGCGATCAAGACTGTAACTCGTCGTCAGAACGAGGGCTGGGTTTGGCACGGCGCCAGCCAGTTTTCCTCCAATTGTGGTCGCCTGCCAGCTTCCGCAATCGGTGCAGAATGGATTGGCGCAGCGCTGAACCCGGCTACTTGCGGAGCCCGCAGCGAACAAGACTATACACGGTGGCGCGCCGAAAGGATTCGATTCCCTCCCAAGCGTTACTCTATGAATGGTACTACGTCTCCTATTGGACGAACAGGCTTCGCACCGCCGCGGTAAGGCCATCCTCGACTACAGTAGTTATTTGATCAGTTGGTAGCTTATGACCGAGTTAGTTTCCAAGAGAAGTAATTCTTTTGCGAATGCCTCACGGATTTTCATTATGGGCATAGGCTTTGCCAGTTGTGTGGGTGGAAGAGGCCTGTCATGTTCCCTCATGGACGCCCTTCTGTGTTCCAGTACGATAAAGAGAAGGCACCAAAGTGTCAAAGTGGTAAGCCTGACCCAGCCCATAAGGTCTATGCGGAAACTGTGCCTTCAAGTAGACCCACTTTTATTTTTAGCATCGCTCCATCGTTACGGATCGCCAACGGGCCGTTGCTGCTCTTCTGTTTCTACGGTCTAGATTTCCTGCTAGGAAATGGTGTCTAGTTCTTGTCGATGTTACGCTAGAGGAGTTAGAGGAGAACAGATTAAAACATATCGTAAAAGTAAGTTAGTAAGTTCCAAAACAGTCATCCACACGACGAAGTTCGGCTTGGTGGGGCATTTTTCTGGCTTGCATCGATCAGTGCCGACGCATCCTATGGATACCTGAAAGTTTCTGTGAAGTCTGCAATATCACCCTTGACAAAATTATACAGGTCTCACCAAGGTAGGACGTGTAAATTCACAGGAACTAACAAAGAAAAGGTAGAGAAAATACAAAATGCCCATCCCAAGCCGAACAGCGCCATTTACAGAATG